CATTTTCCAAGTTTTCTAAATTACTAATTTTTTTAATTTTCAAGAATGTTACTTTTCATACTTTTTTTAAGTTTAAATTATAAACATGAAATAATACAAATATTTATATTAGTTTACTATTTAAAAAATAAACTTTCCAATAATAAAGATGAATAAAGAAATCTATTATTTTGAGATATAACATATAACATTTATATATAATTCTTAAGTGCATTAATTTCATATAAACATTAATATATAAAATCTTGAATGCAGTAAAATGTATATTTTGGAGTTAAAGTTTCTCAGCATTAACTTTACTATGAATCTTTAATTTAAGTACAATTTAAATAGTAAACATAATTCTATCAGATCATATGTTTTTGTAAATCAAAAAAAATGCCTGAGTAATTAAGAACATACTAAAACGTTTCAAAAGCAATTATAGCAAGATGAGGAGCAGTTTTTCTTAAGTTTTTTGTATACTTACATTATGGTTTATTTACTGTTGATGCTGGGATGTTATTGTTGTCGGAGCGGTAATTGCTGATTGTTGCAGCTGCAATTGTTCTCCCCTAGCCGCCGCACTTTAATTAGCAGCTGCAGGGCGCATCCGCAGTTGCAATTGCTGTTGCTGTTCCTGTTGCTGTTGCAGTAGTTGCATCTTGCCAGTTTTGCTGGGCCAGCATCATTAGCTGACTGATTGGCGAAACTTAGACCGCTCGACGACTTCGTCACCTTCTGGCGAAAATCGAAACCTTTTTCCCGGTATATTTTGTGCTGTTTTGATTACCGCAGATTGCACTTTTCAGCGTGTTGTTGTCGTTAACTTGTCGTGGCTGTCGTTGTTGTGTTATTTGTTGTTGTTTTTGTTATTTTTGTTTACGCGAACGTTGCCAGTTGCATGTTAATTAAGCGCGCCTTGACTGCATTTTCCTTGGCTGTTAACGCTAACCGATTATTGTTGTTGCCTTAGGTTTATGCTTCATTTATGCTGAACATGCAGTCTAATGGGCAACATTTGTTTTATGTCTCAGCCTGATGGGCAGTTCAAATATCTATTAGATACATTAAAGGCACGTTTTGGCGACTCGTCATGACTTGGACATTTATGCAAAATCTAAAAAGGTATACTTTGTGTGATAAATTATTACTTGGGTTCGCTTTTGCTCACACACGGATGAGCATTCTTGGAATTTCTGAAGTTCAAAAGCAGCGGGAGGGTTTATAATGAGAATTTAAATTGAAGAAGCCCAAGAAAATGGAAATGAGAATGAAATTATTATTCTTTTTTGGCAGTTTATTTTCAATAAGATTTATATATTGTCAATTAAAGGAATTCTTGACCATTATTTGATAATGTATGTATGTTTATGCAAAAATAATTTAAAATATAAACCCACAAAAACCAGCAATACAATTTGAACAGTCACATTTAAATTGCATTACCCAAAATATATTAAAAATGTACAAATATATAAATTAAAAAAATATATATATATGTTTCTTTCAGCGGTGAAAATATAAGTTTGCCATTTATAGATCACAAATAACTTAATGCTTTTAAAATTCTTTACGAGATATTCCAATCTCCATAAAACACTCTAAGAGAAGCACAAATTTAAATCTTTCGAGGCATTCCAAGGTTAGCACTAGTATAAGATCTGAAGTTATTCCCATGGCAACCCACGCAATGCGACAGAACTCATAAACCAAATATCGCAGTCGAGAATTTAGCGTTGGCGTTGCAGCTGCGAAAAAAAAATTAACTCCAAGTGACCGAAAAACCAAAACACCAAATGCCTTTTGCCAGATTTTATGATTATCATATAGTAGGTGCGTGTGTATATTTCGCGTTGCGGACTTTTTGAGATCACTTTATGGGTTGTTGGTCTTATAAAGCACTTTGGTCAACCGACGTGGGTTGGTTTTTTAGTGCGAAATTGTTTCGTTTTAATGGCTCCGAGGTCCGCAAAGCATTAAGGGGCATCACTCGACAATTTTTTTTTTTAACGAGTCATTGCAGGTGCATTTAAAACTGACAAACTGAATGAATGACTGAGTGACGGGTTGTCCGCTTGACGAAAGGCCGACTGATGAAAGGCCTTAGAATTTCCGCCTCTGGGCCGGTTGTCTAATGCACTTTTAATGATTTTATACAAGTCAAGTTATGCTCAATGCTTCGTTTATTCGTTTTTTTTTTTTTGTAACAACTTGTTTCGGTTTTGGTTCACGCACCTGTTTCACTGTTTGCTGCTCTTTTAAAGGCAAAACAAAAGCAACTGCCGCTCAATTACATGCGACAAAACGTTTTTTTAATGAACGCAAAAAATACCCGAAGCCGGATAATTTGTCGCATTTTCCCACACAGAAAATCGTGAAACTGGAAATCGAGAAAATCGAAATTGGTTTCGAATTTTGGAGTGGCAAAGCGCGACACGATGTTGCAAGCGACGCGTACGAACTGCAACTGCAACCAGCAACCAGCAACTGAAGTTGTGCAGCTGCCGGAAAAATAGTCCCCACCAGATCTTACACTCTCTCGCTCCCGCTCTCTCTCTATATTTAGGGAGATATATCTCTCGTTCGCAACCGATCCCTCAACTCTTTCCGTGTTGCCAAACAAAACGTTCTAACGAGATCTGCATTGGGAATATGAAATGAATTCAAATCGCGTCGTCGCCGGTTTTTCGTTGTTGTCCGCTGGCCGCGCTGCTCGCAACTGAACGCCAGGTGCGAATCCACTCCGTAACGAAGCCCAGGTAAGAAAACAACGCCGGCAGAGCACTCACCTGGGCAGGCTTCAATGGGTTAACTGGCTTAAACGGCGAAGTTGTTGTTGGTTGGCCAGGGAGCAATGCTCACATGTTGCTGCAACATTGCTTATTAGTCACATGTTGCCAGTGTATTTCTTTGGCGTTCTTTATAGTTATTAGAATATATAAGAACATTTATAGAAACATATTGTTAAAATACAAAATACAAAGAAAAGAAAATTAAATACATTATCAGACAAATTATTTTAAAACCTTTTAAGTAAATATTCATAATAATTTATTAAAAATTCGTTTCCTTTTTTTTTTTCCGTTGTTTTAAGCTTACTTATGGGTTTTAATATATTTATATATATATTTAAACTGAAAAAATATAATTAGTCTTGTTTCAAAGTCAAAAAATGACAAACCAATTTTAATTTTTCTTTATATGTTTTTTTTTTACTGTCAAGAATAATTAAATAGTGATGTATATTTTCCTATAGCATTCCGATACTATGAATAATAACATTGTGTTTAAATTAACTTTAATTAAAAACAAAAAAAAATAGTAGGAAAATCTATATATTTTTTGGGTTGCTATTATAAGCATTAAATTGTTCTCTTAAATTAATTAAATAATGCCACCTTATACGAGCGGATAGTTATATATAAGTTAGCTTCATATAAATAAATAAATATATATAAATAGGTTACAACATTTTTTTTATAAGAAATGTTTTTGAAGAAAAAATATAAAATAAAGAACTGTTTCACCTTTTTAGATTGTGTGCCTGTCTTTAGTCTCCTCTACTCCACAAATACAAAATACTATTGTTGGCTTCAAGAAGAGTGTACGTGATGATGGTCTAGTGTTTAGTTTTGCCCACTTCTCATTTTCTTTTCCTTAATAATTTTGTGACCCTGCCCCTCCCCTTCGCCATCCAGCATTCTTTCATTCAATGCAAATGAGTTATGTCCATCTCCCTCAGGTAGAAGAGCATTCCGTCTTTGTTTTTCGCTCGGCGAACGTGTCAGGATTGCAATTCTCCGCCCTCCGCTCTCCGTCGGCCTTGATTGTGGGTTTTTGGCTCGGAGGCTGCGCTGTGGCATAAATCACTGGGTCTGGACTGGAAACGCAGGACTGCCAGCGTTTTCCGGGACTGAGACTGACCCGCGGGTTAATTGCTGACAATTTTCAGGGGCTTAGACGGACTCCTCTGCTGCTCACTGTGGCTGATTGTAATCTTTATTTATAGGCCGGGCATGTGTGTGCGAGCCTGGCCGAAATGCACTCGGGGGGTATGTACCATAATATACCATATAGTATCCATTGCCAGGGTAACAAGACAGGCCAAGTCGACGACTTCTACTCGACCATCAATAAGCCGCCGGAGTCGCCTCATTCCCTTTTTTATTCGCACACAGCGAAAAATATAGAGATGAGGCTTATTAATATGATTTTTGTAAGTTTTAAATGGCAAAATAAACGGGCAAAAATATGTCTCTTTTCGATTGTGTGTCTACAAATTATCTTCCTATTTTAATAAGTTAAAAAAAATGATTTATTTTAGTAAAATCCCTATTTAAAATATAGACCATTAGTTCTAATAAAATAACAAATTTTAAAAATGTCTGTAAAAGAAAACAAGAAAAAAATTTGTTTTGAAAAATGTTTTTGGGGTAAAAAAAAATTCTTAAGATGATCTTAATTTTATTTTACATTACATTATTTTTTTCTGTGCACCTTTTTAACCAGCCAGGCCAAGAAAGATCTTTAAGCCAAGCTGGATCGCTGGCTTGCGGCATGCTAACGAAGTTGACAACTTGATGACATTTGATCTCTCGGCTCTGGGCGCTCGGATCTTCGATGCTGGCTCATTTCTTGGACGGCACGGTGCGCCATCAAGCCGCAAATGACTTCGATGAGCAGATGAGAAGACAATGATCAGCAGTTCGCATTTGGTCTGCAGCCGGGACACGCACACACAAATCAATGATGTGTCTATGGTCATGTTTGCACAGGGAAAAATATATTTGCTTTCCAATTTTTGTCTCTATGAGGATTTTTGGTAAGGAATCAACCATATATTTGAGTTAGGAGCCAGTTTTTAAAGCTGGTACAATGCGATAATGAAAAGTTAAAGCCGTTACAAGCCAAGCTTTTAAAAGTGTTCACAAATGGAATCTTAATAACACACAATTAATAATTTAAATATCACTTAAATACCCTTTAAGCCATTACAAACATCAAAATGCCACAACGACTTAGAAATATTCCATTTATTTATCAAAACCCATAGAAAACATGAGCCCGCTACGAAAGAACAGTTTGGTATAGAACCCCCAAAAGAGCGACTAGGAAATCATTAAAGTGACTAAGACTAGTGAATGAACTAAGTGCCCATACAAAATGGGCTACCCTTTACAGTTTGGCTTTTGGTGGTGACGATGGTGGGTCCTCAACCTTTGGATTGATCTCCTCCAGTGGCAGGAGGTTACCCAGAGCAAAGATATTCTTCGGATCGAGATGTTGTTTGGCTGCCGTGTACAGTGAACTGCCCGTTTCGGTGACGGCGTTCTTATACCAATGGCTTCGGATCTTGCCCACGCCATGGTGATGGGACAGTGATCCCCCGCAGGACAGGATCTCATCCCGAGCACTGTGCTCAATGGCCTCGAACAGCTCGACGGGATTAGATACGTCTATGCAGCGGAATCCAAAGTAGAAGTAGATACAGGCACCTGCGTCGTATGTTTGGGTAACTCTACACGAAATGGTGTAATAGCTAATGCCACGTTTGTGGCACTCCTAAAAAGGGGTAAATAGACTAAAGTTAGTAAGTGTCATAGGAAGTAATTAAATTAAAGCACTCACAGAAACCACACGCTGTTTGACGGAGCGGCAGAGCAGACTACAGCGATCCCAGGGCACCGATGTCTCAAAGGACTCCGCCACAATTCCCTGATGCAAGCCAAAATCCTGTTATGAAATATATGCAAACTAATTTAGTAATCGTTTATGGTAGCATTTAAACTTTAAAAAATACTTAGTATTGTTTTTTTCAAAAAGCACTACTACATTATCATAAACATTTTTTTTACAAATTGCGTTTCAAAGCTATTTGCATCAAACTTATCAACAAAAAATACTAAAAAAAACTTATTATTTGAAAGGTAAATGATTGGGTTTAACTTAAGTCGATTGGACTTAAGATGAATTTAATAAACTGTTTATTGGCTAACTTTAGTAAGATTAAACTTATATGTGACAAAAGCTTATCAGCGAATAGATTAATTAGTTAAATTATGTCCAATTAATATATGATAAGAAAAGTTAAATTAAGTAGCATTATCAAAATAATAAATGTAATAATCTTTTATCTCTTAGTCGTGGAATAATTGTCATGCAAATTAGAGTCTTATCATATAACATCATTACTGTGTAACAACATTATATAAAGTCAGTAATGCATTGGGTTATAAAACCAGAAATGGCGCTTGCTATAAAACTTGTGATGTTATTTTTTACCTAACTTCTACACTATTTGTTTAGAACTACAAAACAAAAACTCACCCTAATGTACGCAATTACAAATGTGAGTATATAGCCGCGTTCCCCATTTTGTCCGCCCGCCGGAAATCCTTGGAACTTGTCGGCGATCTCGTAGATGAGAGCCTCCTGGCGCTGCACATCCTTCAAATCGCCCTCGAACAGCAAGGTGGCGGCGCAGATCTGGTTGAGATCGATGCCCTTCCAGGAGGTAACGTAGCGCTGCTTCAGACCATCCACCAGACTGTCCCAAAAGGACTTCTCCGGCTTCAAGGCCTGACCGAACATGAACTGCTCGTTGTCCATCAGCCGAACGGAGGCGGGTTGGCATCTTCGCCGGGCCACTTCCCGCATGAAGAGCACGCCCTGCTCGAAGTTGGGGAAGGCCAGGGATCCATAACGCCTCACCGTTGGCAAGGGACGTACTTTGAGCACAACTTCGGTGATCACGCCCAGAGTGCCTTCGGATCCCAGGATGAGGTGGTTGAAGTCAGGTCCACAACTCACACGCGGTGCACTGCACTCCCGTTCCAGAGTTCCCGATGGAGTGACCATCCTCAGACGCACCACCAGATCTTCGATGTTGCCATAGACGTTCTTCTTCATGCCGGAGGCACGCGTGGCCACCCAGCCTCCCAAAGTGCTAAATTCATAGGAATCGGGTTCGTGACCCACTGTCAATCCTTCTTTCTTCAGCACCCTCTCCAGATCCTGACCCACAATGCCGGATTCAAAGCATACGGTCAGATTCTCCCGGTTTAGCCATAGGAGTCGATTCATCTGGGAGGTATCCAAGGCGCAGATCATCCGACTTTCGTTCTGAGGACAGGTGATGGCTCCCGACACACTCGTTCCCCCACCAAAAGGCACCAACATCACATCGTGCTTGTGGGCCAGACGCACCAGCTGAACAACTTCGTCGTGGCAGCGAGGCCAGACCACCAAATCCGGAATCCGACGGAATTTGTGGTGCCACAGACTGTAGATATCGTTGAGGGTCTGGCCATGACACCGCACCAACCGATCGACCCCCTCCAGCGAGTGATCCACCTGCGTGGTGCCCTTCAGTTCGTGCAGGAAGGGTTGGTTCTCCACGGGTCGGGGATACGATCGCGGCAACTGGGGATACGGCTTGGAGGGATCCACCACCATATCGAACTTTTTCTCCACCCACTTGGTGAAACTGGGCAGTTCACAGTTACCGAGGGGATATCTGTAAGCGAAAAGGGGATTTTATGCTGCTTCAGTAATAAATTTCTAAAATGGTCATCTTACCTATCACCGCGAAAACAGATGACGCCATCCTGACCATAGAACTGCGAGTCGTTGTAGCCCCATCCAAACCACTTCAGGGACTCATGGCTGTTTAGGAGCAATAAACAAAATAAAATCAAAATTTTGGCTTTAATATAAATATTTCAAACAAACCAAGTAACGTAAGTTACGGGAAATAATCTAAGAAAAAATTAAAAGAAAATATCATCTCCTTACTTTAATTTTTATGGAATTTTGTCACATTTAGCAAAAAGCAGAATATTACACAGTTCTAGTGGTTTTTCAAAGGCAAAAGCTTTCAGGAACTGCTTAAAATTTTTAATTAATTTAATAGCTATACTAAAATGTTCACCGCACTTGTTGTGCATATACAAAATAAATTAAATTTAACATAAATTTAATAGTTATACTAAAATATTAACTTTACTCTCTGTGATTATACAAAATAATTTCAGTCTGTTCAGCTTTAGAAATTATTTCTTTATTTCATAAAAAAAAAATTTGATCTGTTTTCCTAACAGCTTACTAAAAAGGTTTTACTTGTTATTTGAAAATCAATATATTTAGTGTTAAATATCACCTTTTTAAGAAAAAAAAATATTTTTGAATAATTTATGTAAATATATGAGACCTGGGCTTTATTTGCTTTATCAAGCGAAGATTTCTCTATGTAATTAGTGCTTAAATGGAATATTAAAGCTCACCGCTTCTTGGGGAAAACGCTTTCCACGGTTTTCGAGAGGCGGGAGTCGAGGGTGAGGGAGGTGCCTTCGCCGGGCGCCGACAATTCCGGAGCTTCCGTGGTCACCGCATTCCGCTTGGCTGCCATTTTCCGGACTTGGACAAGTTGGGTATAAAAAAATACTTTTCCTATGAGGTGCAGACGCTTTTCAACCGTTTTCACATGGGCGCAAAATCGATAATTATTGTGAGTCCCTTTTTTTTTGTTGGCGGCGTCAGGAAAAGCGTAGCCTGCTGATTGGTTAAAAGTTTCTATTTTTTTGGAATATTGTTTATCTACTTGTTAGTGGAACTCCTAAGCTAGTGACCAGCACGTTGCGCTAAAAACTAAAATTACTTAAATAGAAATTGCACTAGAAAATAATGCGGCCTATGTTGCGCGCACTTGGCTTTCGTTACCTCAACTGCACGGAAATGGGAATAATGAGACCACGGCCGGAGAGAGAGTGAGAGATAGAGAGCCGGGAAATAACGGAGAGTTCAAGAGAGAACCCGCCCCCAAAACAGGCGCGAATCTTTAACCGATTCGCCAAACGGTTCGAATTTAAAATTTGTGTTTTTATCAAAAAATCCATGCAAGCCATGAGTTTATTTCTATAGAGGTGACGTTTAAAATGCCTTAGTAAATCACTTTGTACCGGAATCGCCAGCGATTAACACTGTGTTCGGCTCGAGTTAAAATCTTTTCTGTGTTTTGTTCCAAATTCTTGTTAGGTTAGCACACAAAAGTTATTTGATTTCATTGTTTTATTAATTTTACCAATATTCAAATGTGAAAATTTATTTGCATCATTTTGTGTTCCCCCAGAATGCCCGCAAAGAAGGACTCGACCAAGGGCTCAAAAAAAGGAGCGGCGGCTCCTGCCGGGGCGAAACCGACCGCCGATCCTGTGACATCTGGATCGACTGCCACCGTGGAACCAGCCGCCAAGGAAGCCAAAGGTGCCAAAAAGGGCAAAGGCAAGAAGAAGTAACATTTCCATCTGGATTTCTAGGAACTGGCGTTAATGGCATAAGAAGTAATTAAATTCCAGCAAAGAAAATAATGAGAAAATAAAACGCTGCTAAACAGGGCGCACTCTGTATAACCGATTCGCTCAGGGGGGTGGAAATACGCCCACAAGGAAGGAGAGTACAAAATTGGGGGTGGTGGGTTCAATAAGGGTGGTATTTTTCCCCCATACCCCTTCAATTTGTTGTGCTCTCTGGCTTATCTGTCACTTTGGTTCTGGAGATAGTGTGAGTCATATGATTTTTGAATGAAATACTGCTCCACAGAAAAGGACAGAGGCCTAGGCAACATTTTAAGGAACCTCAGATTGATTGTTATTTAGTTATTATTTTTTATCTCTGGGCTTTTAAAATAATAAAATCTTTATTTCTTTTTAAAAGCCCCTTGATAAAAACCTGCGTACGCCTCTGTTGACAGGTGTTTTAAATTAAAATCTTCCTTCGGGAGTTAGGTCGTTGTAAATTATTTCGAAGAAGTTGGAAACAATAAAAGGATATGAAAATACATAGTATAATGCACCCTACGGACCTATAAATAATAGTTATATTGAAACGTAATAAAAGTTACAAACAAATCAATTCAAACTATTGGACCAACTACTATAAATTAGTCGTGAAACCCTATTTGACCAACTACTATAAATTGGTCGTGAGAGCCTAGCAGATGTTAGTTAATTTTTAATGCAAACATTAGGGGTTACCTTTTAGAACACCTAGAACAAGCACTTTACAATTAAAAGTGCTAAACAAAAATGCATTTAATTATCACAAGTCAAAATAAAAGCTTCGATTTTTCCGCATACGGGTTGGAAGACAGTAAAAATTCTTTCACTATTTTCAGATTTCAATAACAATTACTTTTGGCTAACTTCCGTAACTCAAATTACACTGCATCTTACTAGTTTCCGGTTTAAATTTACTTTGCATGCCTCATTGACATTTGTAAATAATTCAAAATACAATTACAAAAGATATATTTTGCAAACTCATGAGAATTTAAATTTCAAACTGTTTTTTTTCCGAACTCAAAATCTCCATAAATTAGATTTTGCGGTTTTAAATCTTATGTAAGATCGCCTTCATTTCCATCACTGCAGTTTTGCTATTTATTTACCAATGTGAATATTTATATTTCTATTGGTCTGACTCGAATTGATCAGAAAATGCTGCAACATTTGAGCAGTAATAGTAATCCCAACACCCGCACTCACATCGACCGATCCAACTGCAGCGGGCAAGTTTGAAACCGAAACTGAGCTTATCCGCAGCCTCACAACTTTTCTCTTGCAAATGACAGCGGCGTCAACACATTGTTTATTACGTAGTTATTTGCACTATGCTGTACAGTTTAACAATTGTTTGAGTGTAAATTCGTCAATGCTCCGCCGAACGACGCGGCAATACGACAAAAAACGACAAATCCGAAAAAAAGGCGGTTATTTGAATAATTTTCACACCGCCGAAACGCACGAAACCTGACGACATTCAATTCAGTACTCAAAGCCAAAGTCTGGAGACAGTGTGAGCTAAGATTTAATTGGTTGTCTTTTGACCGGAATTCGCATTAACCCATTTGAACTTTGCAACTTCAAAAACGCTTGATTTCCCTTATTGTTATTTGTTTTATTGGCAAGTTAGCAAGTTGCCGTTATCAACAGTTATGACAACAAGACAGCTGGAGTTTACCTAAGCGCAATCGCAGCCAGGAAGTGTAGGGTAAATATTAATTAGCAAAGGGTAAAGCATTTTGTGTAAAAATGCATGCACGCCCGTCTTGTTTTTGTAACGTTTATTTTGATTTTATTTGAAAAGAAACTGTGGCCTTGTGGCGCCACCTGTCTTTCAGATATTGAACACTTATCGATAGTTTGAAGATGGCAAGTTTTGAAAAAATGGGCTAACTAAATGAAAATTGTATTAAAATATTACAAATTTAGGATTTGTTTTGAAACGTTGTTGCAATTGCTATGTTTTTGCAAATTACTTCCATAAAGGTTTTAAATACTATCGATAACTCCCTGAAATCCAAACCGTGACTCATGATTTTACCATCACTATCCCGTTCGGTATTTACCAACACTAACACCTGCAAGCAACTTGTCGTTTTCAAAGCGAAAAACATTAAATAAAACGCATTTAAATGGCCAAAACAAACATCACTCGCTTCGGGTCGGCATAGAGCGCTTAAATAAATAACAAATTCATAACTTACCGGATGGTAAATGCCCGTAAAAGCAAAAAGAGAGGCTTGCCAAGTCGCCACTGTGTGTGTGTCTGCGAGTGTGGGTGAGTGTGCGTGTTAGTGTTGGTGGGCAGAACAATAACAAGCCCAAAAATGCCAATGGACATGGAATGTAATGGAGCAGGACCAACAATATTCACAATAGCGCTCCATCAGAGGCGATGAATCACAGGTGAGTTTGGGCCCAACCCTTAATTAAAGCCATCTGATATATGTATATACCATTTTCCAGCAGCCACAACCGTGCCTTAATTAACGAACGAAAAGCAATACACTTAACCCAAAGATGCCGCTGCTGAGTAAATGCTTCCCCTGCTTTAAATTCAAGCGCGAGGAGGTGATCGACAAGCTCGACTACAGCAACACTCCATTGACAGATTTCCCGGAAGTTTGGCAGCATGAGCGGACCTTAGAGGAGCTCTACTTGAGCACCACCAGAGTATGTACTTATTGGCTACTTATCTGGGCTGCCTATTTACCTTGTCTTATCTTCCAGTTGCAAGCTCTGCCGCCGCAGTTGTTTTATTGCCAGGGATTAAGGGTGCTCCACGTGAACAGCAACAATCTGGAGAGCATTCCCCAGGCCATCGGCAGTCTGCGCCAGCTGCAGCACCTGGATCTCAACCGGAATCGTGAGATTATTGCACTATCTTCCTCCTCCTCTTTAAACTACAATGAACATCACCCCTTTTAGTTATTGTCAATGTGCCAGAGGAGATCAAGTCATGCAAGCACTTAACCCACCTGGATCTGAGCTGCAATAGCCTACAACGTCTTCCCGATGCCATTACCTCGCTTATTTCGCTGCAGGAACTGCTGCTAAACGAAACCTACCTGGAGTTTCTGCCTGCGAACTTTGGCCGATTGGTCAATCTGAGAATTCTGGAGCTGCGACTCAACAATCTCATAACGCTGCCCAAGTCCATGGTGCGTTTGGTCAACCTACAGAGGTTGGACATTGGTGGCAATGAGTTTACAGAGCTGGTGAGGCAAAAAAAGAAGGGTATTCTCTAGTTCAAATATATATTTCGTTAGTAAAACCCATGTATTTTCGTAAAAGCCTTTTGAAATATTGTTATCAGATCTAGCAAATACCCTTTATAACGAGGTAAAATATATAGTAACTTTTAATTCCTTTCCAGCCCGAAGTTGTTGGCGAGCTGAAGTCTCTACGCGAACTTTGGATCGATTTCAATCAGATACGTCGCGTTTCGGCCAACATTGGCAAACTGCGCGAGCTGCAGCACTTTGAGGCCAATGGCAATCTACTGGACACACTGCCCAGCGAGCTGAGTAACTGGCGCAACGTGGAGGTGCTGTCCATATGCTCCAACAGTCTGGAAGCCTTTCCCTTTAGTGTGGGCATGCTAAAATCCCTGGTGACATTGAAGTGCGAGTCGAACGGCTTGACGGAGCTGCCCGACAGCATAAGCTATTTGGAGCAATTGGAGGAACTGGTTTTGAGCCACAACAAACTGATACGCCTACCGAGTACGATTGGGATGTTAAGGAGCCTTCGCTTCCTATTCGCCGATGATAATCAACTGCGGCAGCTGCCGGATGAGCTATGCAGTTGCCAGCAGCTAAGTGTCCTCAGTGTGGCCAACAATCAGTTGTCTGCCCTGCCACAGAACATTGGAAACCTGGGCAAGATGAGGGTGCTGAATGTGGTCAACAACTACATCAATGCGTTGCCCGTTTCGATGTTAAACCTAGTGAATCTCACATCGATGTGGCTAAGCGACAATCAATCGCAGCCGCTAGTGCCGCTGCAGTATCTGGATGCGAGTACAAAGACCCAGTTAACCTGCTTCATGCTGCCGCAGGTGACGTTCAAGATGAACAGTATACAGGCCCAACAGCAGGCCCAGGAACAGTACGAGTTCGTCTACGCCAACCAGCAGCAGCCCCACGTGAGTCCATCCCGGAGGATCTGCTTCGCCGAGGAGGCCACCATTCTGAGCAATGCCAAAGCACAGCCGGCGCCCAGCTATCCCACGTATGTGGCCGCTCCGCCAACTCCCACGCCCGAACAGATGTCCGGATCCGTGCGGCTGATGCGTTCACCCACACCGTATCCCAAGGAGCTGCGCCAGATGGCCAAGTACGTGCGGCAGGCTCAGGCGGCGACCACATCGGCCAATGCCAGCGAGGTGAGGGAGGCACGCGTGGTGGCCAACGGCCAAGTTCACTGTGATAGCAGCAATGCCAACCAGGATGTTGTGGACCAGGCCACAGCAAGTGCAATATACGGCATAACGCCGGAAATGACACACATCTACGGAGTCTATCAGCAAGCGCCGCAGATGACGCATCCAGTGCCGACGCAGGAGTACTACGGTTTGCCACTGGTCAACTATGAGGCACACTACCAACAGCTGTACGTGGAGGCCAACACGCCGCTTCCCACCACGCATTTAAACGGGGATCAGGACTACGAGTTGCAGCCTCTACAGCAGCAACAGGCCATGCAGCAACAAGCGGCGCCACCTCCTCGATTGGAACCGCCACCGTACCACATAGCTCGAGTCTACACAAAGAAAACGCCCGAGGATCTCAACCTGTACGAGTCCATGCGGCAGCGGAAGCAGCAAATGCAGGAGCAGACCATCTACCAGGATGCCTTGAACAGCAACTTCAAGACCACGGCCATCGGGGCGCAGGAAGTTGAAGAGTCGGTCGATCAGTTGGATTACCAGAACAATATTAGCAACAATTTAGAGCCGAATCCAGAGGAGGATGACCAGGAGCTGGACGACAGCGTGTCGCAGCACTCGCTTAATTCCACGGCCACCAACAATACTTCCAAAGCGAGCCACAAGAAATCCACCTGGATATTTGGTGTCCACAAAAATCCAACAGTCAAACAGGTTACCCTCAAGTGGGAGCACAGCATTGGCTTCGACGTAGCCGAACTGCTTAATCAGGTGAGTCTATCCGCCTTAAATCCTTGAAATCAGTTTATATTAAGGTCTATTTTCCATTACAGGTTGGCATATTTGTAAGCGCTGTAACGCCAAATACAAATGCCGCGCGTCTGCTGAACCTCAACGACAAGCTGCTGGAAATAGACGGCTACGACCTGACCAATGCCAAGCTGAGCGATGCCAAACGAGTGCTGCTTAACAGCGGCACGGTCATGAACATTATGTTGTCGAGAAAATGATGGACCATTTGTTTACCAACCTAAGCCGATTCCCAACCCGAGACCGAAGACTTTTTGTGCATTTTTCTAACGCATTTTTCCAATAAGCAGCATCGCCGATAACGGATGACAACCACTTGGCTATCATAATGTTAGTTCATAATCACTACCTTCCGTACTGGCGGTCAATCGATCAGTCATAGAGCAGTCATCGCCAGCTAGAGGATCCCATGCTTTTCGTATATTAGATAGATAGACGAATCCAAACTGCCATTTTCTCTACACCTAGATGAAGTATCTCCATACTCAATAGATGAATAATACCACAATACGGCCAAAATTAGAAGTTATAGCCCTGAACAAGTATTCTCAAAATTTGAATTGAAAATGAATGCATTTATGATTTTAATTTAAAACGGTCGTTTAATAATCCAATTGAAGCGACCATTAAGTTCTATTTATCAGAGTTTGATTTAATAAATCAGTATTTAATCGGTATCTTATGTAAATAGTTAAGTTAAACATTAGAAAAAAGCAATATTACGTTGTGTCAATTATGAGTTCTAGACATACATAATCACGATGCGTAGATTACATTTAAAAGGCATTTGTATCTCAAGTTGTGCGACAATTTTTTTGACCGCCAGCGGAATGTAACAGCTTAATACACATAAATAGTGCAATTAGCGTCGATTATAGGTATATATACACGCACTCATATATATACTCGCGATAATCAGACGAATTACCTTCAACTAGCGCCTATTTTACGCCCAGCGTTGTTCAAATTTGTTCCCAAAATTATATGTATAGATCAATTACTTGATTACAAAAGATATTTGCTGTTTATGTTAGTTGTTATGGTGCAGCAATATAAATTCTATATATATATATATATTTACATATACGTAACTCCATATTTATTGTCCAATCGATCGAAGTGTCAAACATTATTTTCAATGACGAACTGTTAACAGTTAACAAACTGAATTCTCACACTATTGGCGTTGTGATCAGTATTATTATTTATCTGGTTAAACACATGCAATCTATTCGAAAGTTAAGCACTTCTATTATTCATAGCGATTAAATATAGTCATACATATGTGCATTATTGAAGAACACACACGCCCAAACACACTCACAATCACACACACCCATACGAATACGAATGTAGCTAACTTAAGCAAGCGCACACATTTTGCCAATTCAATTTGATTTAAGAGCGTTACCACAAATCACTGAAATACAACTTTCACTTTGTCATTTCGCCATAGTTTTTGATTAAATCTTATCCAGCCGCCAAAAGAGCATAGAACAAAAACCATCTAGTCAACAGTCGGCGGCCCTTTTGATTAATGTCCCCGGCTGCCGCTGTCGTTATCGACAGGCAATTATCTATGGAAATTAATTGTCGGCGACATTTGTAGTGTGCCAGCCGGCTGACACCAGCAAAGCACGCAATCCAATCCTCCAGGACGAGTCACTCCCCGCATGTCCTGTGTCCCCGGGCTCCAAAGCACTGGCTACAACATCATCAGCGACAGCGTCAGCGAATGTCGTCTGTTGCGGCACTTTTGGCCATATATATTTGCATAAAAAGTGTACAACCAGCGTAATGGTCTATAAATTCAACCGGAAAGTAGTCAACCTAAAAAGCGCAACCAAGGACAATGGGCTGAAAGCGATAAATAATCTAAACTTTTGAAGGAATGCAGGTAATTGTAGGAAGACCCTTTCATTTGCAAATCAAGTATACGTGTAAGATAAAGGTGGTAATTTAATTTATATATTTAATAATTTTAAAAAAATCCTTAAGCTGAATGGACAGGTTTTTAGACCTAAAACATAGTTAAACAAAACATAATTTTTTGTCAAAGTAAAAGTTTGTTGTAGCGGTAAAAAAAAAGGTTTTTTAGCTTATAAAAAAAGCAATTAAAAATATTTTTTATTTTTTTTTTAATTTTGTAATAATGGGAACTAATTAGGAAATTAAAAAAAAAGATTATCGATCTAATCTTATCTTACTTATCAAACAAAATTTTGGTTTAATGTTATTTTAAAATATAGAACAGATATTAAAAACTTTTATTTTGACCGCTGTTGAATATATTCCACTATCGTTTGCAACTTTAAACTCAAAAGTCTTACAAAATTCAGTTTATTACATAATTTTAAAATAATTGGGATCAGTTACTAGAAATTTTCGGCTAAGAGTTTTAATAGCTTATATGTAAGTGATAGGGCAGTTTTATAGAGGGATGTGCGATGTTATCAGTTAAAAGTAAATTAAGCAAAACTCCCATGGTTCTTAAGCCTCAAAGCGTAAAAACAAAAAACGATGTTTGTATGAATATACATACGTATATATTTATTTTGTGCGGCACTAATAATTACACTAACACACTGCCTTTGGGGAGCTTCATGCTGAAAGGGGAGTTGACGGGCGGCGGGCAGCCTTGTCCTTGTCAAATGTTTCGTTATCTGGTGCTGTTGTTGTTGTTGTTGTTGTTGTTGTCATGCCCCCCGCTTTTTTATTTTTTTTTAAGACATACACATATAGCAATTCCAAAAGAACACCCAGAACCACCCACCTTCACCCGCTTTTGATAGCGTCAACATCAACTAAAACTGTAAGCGACTTCAAACGGCGCTTTGTCAGTGACCTTCGCGTGTTGGGGCGATGGCATATGTTTTTTTTTTCTTACCACCCACTTGGAAGGGTGTTGGGGGGTGGTGTTTCGAAGTAATGGGTTGGAGCAAGGCTATATGGCCCGAGTCCCGGCAAACTTGATTTGACATATGATGTGCCCGTTTCGGTGTCGACTCCTTATCCAATCTGGCCCAAATACATTTATCAATATCGCTTCTGGTCGATTGAAATACCACCCGGAGGCGGCAAGTCCTCACGTCTTGTCGGCATCGGCATCGGCTTCGGCACCCAAGAATCAGAATCACCCGTCGTCCTCACCATCGCCCACTAACCCACCCAATCGGTCATTAGCATTTTCGGCGTGTATTTATGGCCAGAAAATGTTGCGCCATAAACATGACAACAAAACAAAATGCGACAAATTTGCGCCGATTGCCCATGTGGCAGGCAGGCGGTAGTCTGAATTTCCTATCCCCCAGGGCCAAATAATTGTCATCCGGAATAAAATATGTATGCACGATTATTATTTGGCTTACGCTCAATTGGAGGCCGGAGGCATTGGCGCAAAAAGCCTGGCTCAAAGCAGGAGGGCCAATTGCAATGCAGAAACAATTGCATACTTGACGGGGCAAAGTTTATTTTTATGCGAGCGACGACACTCAGGGTGGGGTATTGAGAAGTGGATACAGTAAGGACTCTATAGGAGGTGCTAAACATCATATTGATCGGAGCCTTCGTCATTGTGACTTTGGGTGCAAATGCTTATCAATAACATACTTTACTCTACTTCTGCATGTAAATTTATTTTTTTTTATAATAATTGTTACCAAAAAGCAATAACTTTTTAAATTTTTTATTTCAGGGACCTTACATTTATTAAGTAGGTGAAAATAATAACTGTTTAGGTATAAAAATTTGATATTGTAACTACACAAAAAAAAAATTATCAGAAACTAATTTTTACTCAATAAGATGAGTAATAAATTAATACCACGAAATAATAAAAACAAAACTTGGGTGGTTCAAAAAGAAGGCCTTAGACTATAGTAGACTATAAAAAGAGTAGGGTTTATATTATTTATTGTAGTATTCAATTAGTACTTATAGTTTAAGAGTGTCTATAGTTTATTTTTAAGACACACTTTTTATTATTATTTAACTTTAATTTTTTAATACCACGAGGAGTCTTTAAAGTTTGATTGTCAATCTATCCTCCAAACTTCAATGATTTTAAATTAATCAAAAAATAAAGAAAAGCTGTAAATTTTTATGACCTTGAGTTCTTTCAGATTCAAATTACTATATACTATGAAACAACTTTCGCTACAGCATATAACAAATTTAAATGTAGGTTTCATGACTTAAGTTTAGAGCCAAGGGGCAGGCTTAAAAAGTCAACTGCTTTGAGCTCTTGACTTAGCTCAACTTTCGACCAAGACATTTTTGGGCGTCTTAATGGAGCTTTCCCTGTGCCACACACTCAAACTTGTATCCACACGCACGGCTAGTGGAAACAAATCAACTCTGTTTTGGCGCCATGCGGCGTAGTTGCTCTGCACTTTGCCTTCACTTTGGCAGACCGACAAACGCGACCGCGACTCTCGGCCAGAAAGCCAGAACAGAACAGAACAGAACAGAGCAGAGCAGAGCAGAGCAGAGAGCCAGGCCAAAAGGCAAAGGCAATGGCAAAGGCAGTGGCAGTGGCAGCCGGGCCAACTAGTTTTTCTTCAGTTCCTACTTTTGGCTTTTATTGTGCACGGGGTTTGTGTTGTTTAGTGTGCCATTGGCGCTAACAACGTGCGGTTCACTCTTGCGGTCTTGTCGCCGACCGGTAAAGTCAGTAATCGGAATAATACCAAGACCGATTCCGGGTCTCTTAACAAAGGTTTAAACAAGATCTGTGCAGATTACACCAGTTCCTTGAACTCCCTCCAAATAAAAATCTCTTTGTCCTTTTTGGACTTGTGTAACCCATTAGGTTTGGTTGCACTTTAAAGCCGATTTCCGATTACTATAAATATTAATAGGATTTATTGATTGGTTGTCGTCGGCGGGATCAACGCAAGGCGACCCATGTCCTTTCTCTCGCCCACATTGCGACTGGAGAATCTGTCCACGCAGCCAACGATGACGCAGGATCATGTGCCCGAGGACCAGCGCTATAACAAACAGAACATCGTGGCACAATGGTGCAGTCCCATCAATGGAAAGGTATGCAAAGCAGAAAAAAAGGAAGAAAAAAGAGTTTTCCTGGTAACCGCAACTTAAATTGATGGAAATTTGCGATAATTGCCCCCCTCCTCGTTTTTCGCGCAGATGTACCGCATCGAGCTGGAACACGGAACCACCAGTGGGAGGCGCATGATTTGGGTCAATGGACGGGTAAGTTTTCTAGCTCTTCGCGCTGCCTGATGGGCTTATATGTGGCGATGGGGATGGCGATGGCGGTGGCGGTGACGGTGGCTTTCGGAGCTGTTGAAGTATTTGCATTGTGAGGGCGCGCACTTAATTACAGGTCGTGTACGTACGTGTACTTTTCTAAGTGAATTGCTTTTCACCACCCCTTGTGAGCGGTTATCCTATAAGCAGCACAGGATATTAATTAGGAGTTTAAATGTTATAAAAAAATTTGCATAATTTAGTAGCTACTTGAGTTAATGCAGAAAGCTACGCTTATTAAGTTTGAACTAACAGCTGGAAATTAAATTTTACCATGACAAATTTCATGAGTTTTCTTTGCTTGAATAGTCATCTATGAAATGAAAATGAGGAAGTGAGTTTGTGGCCCAAACTAGTGTAAAAGCGGATAGAAATAGAAAACCAGCAAATACACAAATTGAGCATAAACTTTTATAGCCATTGCCAAGTTAAGTTATCCTATATTTATGTTCACTTTCTTAATAAACTTGTGTTTATTACGCACTAACTTCAAACTTAAGACATTATTTAATAAGCAGGAAACTTAACTACATGAGTTTGAATTGAATTTCAACTTAAATGTACAAAATTAAACTCAAATTGAATTCTATGAACTTTAATCAATAGTATTTATCGATAATCCTGCAGCCAAAAAAAAACTTAAAGCTTAGTATTAATAAGTGGGTCTTGAAAATAAACTACAGACAGTATTAAAGTAGAAGTGTTAATATAATACTGAATAAAATAACCCCTATACTATTTAGTTTTAATTGTATAGCCTTATTTTAAAACCACATAAGTTTTATTTTAATGCTTTCGTGGTATTAATATTCATACTCATATTATTGAGAAATTTTTTAAGTAGTTTAAAATTCATGTTACAATAGTTTAATTTCTATGTCATTTTGTTGGGAGTGATATAAGAACCTAAGACAAATGAGGAAGTGAGTTTTGAGAGATTGCTTAAGTTTATTCGGTACCAACTCTAGTGACTGAATTCTTTCCTGTTTTTATTTGTAACCCCACACAGGAGGTCCTGCGTCGCGACTGGATGTTCAAGCTGGTGGGCGAGGACACCTTTCACATCGACCAGACGCGCTGCATCATACGCGTTGATCCGGCGCCGGGTTTCAAGTACGAGTACTCCCTCTACATCGATGGCAAGTCGCACGAGCAGTACACCGAGGATATAACCAGGCAGTATCGACTGTGGCTCTACACTTGCGATTCAGAGGCGGAGGCGAGGCAGGAGTACAGGATAATGCTCAAGCTGGACACGCTGAGTCTGTACGTAAACGACGAGCTGCGCACCGAGGAGGTAGGGGATGGGAATGGGTTCGAATCGGGGTGCCACTTCCGCCACACCAGCCTTACACGTTTTATTACCCCCCCATTTCGCAGTCGGTTTTCGTTCACGGCGGCACAGACACCAAATTCCTGCTGCAGGACACGGAATTCGTGCTTCAGGCACGCTCAAGTGGCAATAAACATGATGGCATCGTTCACACTCTGCTGGCCAATGGGGTGCCAGTTCCGGAGGCAAAGATTCAGGAGATTATGCAAGAGCCGGTCTCCATTTTGCAGGGCAACTGAGGCACCGGCATCCCCTTTAGAATAACATTTTGCATTTGTTGAATTTTTCCCCCAATTGTTAATAAAAAGTTTTACGGAAACTGTTTTCATAGCAATTAAAAGCCAGCCAACTTTTCTCTTATACAATACTTTATTCGTTTTTGTTTATATGCATAATTGTAACGCAACCATCGTTTACGTTTTCAATTTCATTTTGACATTTTGCTAGCATCTGGTAATGTATGCCAAAAGTGCATCCAGTTGTTAAAAAAAATTAGTCGGAAACATCAGTTGAAGAAAATACAAATTAATGTATACATACGCTCAATTTAAAAACATTATATACTAATTAAACTTACGCATAGAACTTGGTTATCAAACACAACAACAGAATTTATGGGGGATAGGCTAAAGAATAAGTGTGTTTTCTAAACAACTCGGTAACCTTTGAGTGCAACTTGAAATTGATTTAGTGTTTGTCTTGTTTGTTTTGCATTTAAATTGATTGCTTACTATTTGGTTGAATCAAAAACTCGGTTTGATCAATATTACTTTCTTTAGATTGCGTTGTATTTGGAAATTTAACAATATGCGCTTAATTTGTTGTCTTTTATTTGCTTTTCATACATTAACAAGTAACATTTTTGTTGAAATTTATTTTTAGTTTCAATTAAAAACACAATAATTTATTTACCTTTGCAACACAATGATATTTTTGATATATACTAATTTTAATTAATTTCACAATATTTGTTTTGTTTGGGTTACAAAAACATAATATACAATTTTGTATTTAAGTTGCATGTGTATATATATATATATTTAAATATTAGGCTAAAAATGTACGCAGAATACGCATAAAAAGAGTAAATCAAAATTTGAATTTGAATTTTGATTTGCTGTTTGACAAAAGCTCGCATCACTAAAAATGTGTAAATATGCTTTACCTCTTCGATGGCATTATATGTGCCTCCATAAACTAACAAAAATATATATATATTTTTGTTATTGTAAGTACAGTGGAATGCATTAAAAAACAAAAGTTTCTTTAATACTTAACAAAGATATATTGCCAGTAGACGGATTGTGTTTGCTTGTGTTTTTTATAAATAAATAAACAGAAATGAATACAATAAATAAATATGTTTTTGTTCGCATTTTAGAGAGAGAATTTTCTCCCGAATTTGGTTGCTGTGTAAAAATTAGAATTACGAAATTACAATTTGTGGTATTTTGTTTTCATTAACTATTGCTGCTCGCACATATATCGATCTTTTGCTGTCGCTTTTAAAAACCATGCTCTGCTCTCTATAACTAACACACACACATTTTACATTAGAGTTTATATATGCTTAGATATTATAGATTGATTCATTTGAAATATATACTCCTTTCCTTCTCCTCCTCCTCATCGTTCTCCTCGCATTTCCTGGCTAGTTAAATTAAATTTGAAATGTCCTTTGTTAGTGTTAAATCTTTTAAAAATTATATATTCATATTTGATGCACGTATTGTTAGCTTAAAAAGTTCTTGTTGCATTCTTGCGGGATCAGTGTCCCTAAGTTTCGTGGTGAAAAGTCTTGCATTGAGTTATGAAATGGTTTTTCCTTTGCTTGCATAAAGTTTGCCTGGCTGCCTAGGTGCTTAAATAGTAAAGTAATCGTTTTGCTTTATGTCGTTTAGTGTAATACTTGCAACTTGTGACAGTTTTTATATAATAAATATACTTTGCTTATGAAAGTTGTGTCTGTTGTTGAGAGAGAGGATTATATAACTTGTATAGTTATGAAATTTTCTTTCTTTTTTTTTTTTTTTTTTGGTTTCATATCGGGAATCATATTAATTTTCTTTTTGTTGCTCTGCTACTTGTTGTTGCTGTGTGGCTCATTGTTGTTTGTTGTTTTATCTAATTCGTTATTTTAATTAGTTCAATGGAAGGCAAAACATGTGCTGCAGTAGACTTTTATTATTATTTGCTTGCATTTGATTATTATGAATGTTATTGTTACCATTATGATGAAGTTGTTGCGGCTGTTGCTGCTGCTGCTGAAGTTGCTGCAGCTGCTGATGCTGCTGCTGTTGCTGCTGATGTTGCTGTTGTGAGTATGCTGAATGGGGTTGATATTGCTGCTGTTGCTGGTGATAATGTTGCTGCTGGCTGGGATTGTTATTGCTGCCGACTGATCCGCCAGCTCCCGCTGCGCTGTTCAAATGCAGGAGACTCAAATCATCAGCCACGGAATCGTAATCACTGGAATCCTCGCCATAGAGCTGCAAACACATAATTGTTACTACAAAATAAGGATTTTATTTGGGAATTCTTCACTTACCCGCATGTTATACGGATGTAGGTCGCACATTTCGTGGTGTCAGACGCAATCCTCCAGAGACATCAGCAAGGGGTTCACATACTCAAAGCCCTCGAACTCCGATTGATCGATATTATCAATGACATGACTGAGATTTAAAGAAAACAAACGATTAACAAACGATCTCAATTGATGTGAGCAAATCAAGAAGAAGGGTAAAATGCTTAGGGTCAACTTACTCATCATCCGGGGTCAACTGCACGGCCTCGCCGGTGAACTCGGGCGGGAAATTGGCCAGGTCGCGATCTGAGTCTAAGCGTGGCTTGAATGGTGGCGTGACCTGTTTGCGCTCAAGCTGCGTGATTTTTTTGGTGTGCATGAGGATAGTAGAAATCATAATCGATTAGGAAAAACTCCCAGCCAATGGGGCAAACATAAAACATAGTTTCTCTTTTTCATGTCGGTGCGGCTTGAGCATGAATATGACGATGATAAAATTCAATTTTCAAAGTTTTTTTATCGACACGTAAGAAGGGTTCAATGAATGGGCGGCTGAATCGATAGGAGCATGAGCATTACCTGCCATTAGTCTGGATGCTAAACTAAGACCACTTAGAGGTTTATCTCATGCAAGGAATACACCAAAGATAAACTAACACAACTTGCCATCGTTTTTTTTTTTTTTTTTTTGATTTGGGGAACTCGTTATGACTTACGGATCATCTGGCGTTAGCACAGCCGGCTCTTGGGTAAATTGTACATCAAAGTTGCTGGTCACATAGGGATCGCCAGTGTCAAGGTTTGGTATATAAGGCGGTTGCACCTCCTTTTGAGCTATCTTTAACGCGCAGTCGTATACGTAATAATAGATAGATCATTAATGTCCAAGGCAATTACGAAAATTGCTCAACAGTGATTGCCTGTGTTGAATCACTATCAGCAACACAAAGTAAAATAGATGGAACTAGTAACTTTAGACCTGACCTATGTAGAAACAACCATTGGTCTCAATATGAGTTAAGATTATTCTAATCTAGTTTTTTGATTAAAAACCTTTTGCCACACTTTTTATAAACATTTTGTTATCTAGTCACCCTGACACATTATCATCATCATCACAAACAAGTGCACCAGGACACAGAGAGTTAGTATAAGCGTCCCCGGACTCACCAATTCCCAATCCATGTTCTTGAAGAACGGATGGCTGACGATGTCCATGAAGGCGGACTCCCGATGGCAGCCCAAACGGTCAGCGGGATTCTTGTTGAGGAAACCTTTCAACACAGAGGCGGCCCGAACGCTCAGCGAGCGGGGTATACGAATGGTCTTCTCCAGGATCACTTGGAACAGATAGTCCTCCGTGTTCTAGGGATATAGATAGCATATAGTTAGTTAGAACATATATATAGCTAAGAGAAAAGTAAATATCCAACCTGATCGGGATTCTCGGAGGCACCGGCCAGATCAAACGGACTGCGGCCAGCCAACATCTCGTAGAGCAGGACACCCAAAGCCCACCAATCCACGGAGAAGCCATAGTCCTCGCCCCTCAGGATCTCCGGGGCAATGTAGTTGGGTGTGCCGCAGAATGTGGACGTGGTGTCGCCCGAACGAATGCCCTCCTTGCACATGCCGTAGTCCGTGAGCTTGATGTGGCCCTCGTGGTCCAGCAAAACGTTGTCCAGCTTCAGATCGCGATAGATGATGCCCTTCTCGTGCAGGAAGTTCAGCGCCAAACTAATCTCGGCCGCATAGAAGCGGGCATGCTCCTCGGGCAGTCGCCGCTGCCGCTGCATGTGGTACATCAGATCGCCGCCGCGCACAAACTCGATGACGAAGAAGAGCCGCGAGGGCGTCTGGAAGCACGAGTGCAGTCCCACCAGGAATGGATGGTTCGAGGCCGTCTCGAACACATGCTTCTCCGTCTGCACCCAGTCGATGTCCTCGTCGTCGGTGACCAGAGCCTTCTTGATCACCTTCATGGCATAGATGCGCCGTGTGCGTCGCAGCTCCACCATCAGCACCTTGGCATAGCTGCCGCGTCCGATGACGCGTATCAGCTCGAAGTCGTTCAGCGAGTACTGGCGCTGGGTGCCCGGCTCCAGTGGGTCCTCCGGCGGCGGTGGCGCCACAATGTGGGCATGGTCGTGCGACTCGCAGGCATCGGCACCGCCGCCCATCGCCTCGTAGGGCAGCGGCGGCAGCGGCACCGGCATCGGATCGCTGGACTCCTCCGCCCGCTCCTTGACCAGCGGCTCCGGCTGGTCGGTGCAGTGCTTCTGCACCAGCTTATGGCACTTCTTGTGCACCAGCAGCTTGCACTGGATGCACTTGAAACCCTGACGGCCCAGGCCCCAGATTCGATCCTGGCAGTAGGCACAGAAAGCACGCTGAAAGGGCGGAAGTATATATATTAATTAGAGCTTATTGAGCTTCGGGATTTGATAGCCAACTCTTACCCGGTTGAAACGCTTGGCCTGGAAGATGTGTCCATTGACGCGATACAATTTGCGCCAGCGTCGAGCACCGCGTCGATAGATGCTGCCTGGATGGGAATATATTTTTAGAGCAGGCATAATCAATAACTTAGCTAAGGGCCTCTTCTCGTTAACCACTTTAAAATCACTATTAGAGTACTGTCTGCTATGGCACTTGTTAAATCTTTCATTAGCCACTTTAAAATCAATAATATTCTAGTTACTACTATCTATTACTTTTTAAATCCTAATAACAATAATAACAATTTTAAATTTAATTGGCATTATGGAGTGGCGAATGATTTACATTGATTTTCGAATCCACTGATTTGCAAATTAAGTCTTATCGATAGACCAGATTTTCAGATGCTAATAAAATTTAAATCTGTAACAGTTTTTTATGATTAACTAAGTTCAATAAAATGATTTTCATTTGTCGGATAACTCTA